ATCACTGCATCTATCTTGGCCTTTCCTTTCCTCTTACTGCTATTTTTCTTTATTCTTTGTGCCTTGAGGATCATTTTTCTTTGATAGAAAAAAAATGCAAGCAAAATAGGCATTGAGTATTTCTGTTTTCTTCCAGTTGTCTGATCACATCATATCATATGGTCCCAAGCAATGGGATTATCTCTTCCTTCTTCTTCTAGTTCTTAATATTGAGCATTAAAAAGACACCCCCAATTAAAAAAATAAAAAGCCCTTTTGTTATTATACCTCAGTGTACTCTGTGCTGTAGATTCCTGAATCTCCCCCTGCATGTCTATGACATTTCTTATACTTTCCTTTGTTGTATATCCCTCCTCTAAACTCTGACCTTTAATTTTTAATTCCATGGGACACTGGCTTCTTTGCGTGCACCTCCTATTTCTTCCTTATGCAGATCATTATAGGTCAGAATCTTGGTTCTAAGCACCTCCTACTCCTCTGAAACCATATCCTTTTTTAGTCTTTATTATGGGATCATATGTATTTTTTCTATGATCTATTTTTTTCAATTTAAAAAGTAATTTCTGCTTAAAAGAGAAAGTTGAGAAGCATTTAAAAAGCTCACTATGGTAGAGACTGCTGGCTAGCTCTCAATATTCATTTTCCCCTTCTTTCTTGAGACACCCAAATGTTAGCTGGGCTGCCCGGAATATCTATGTTTCCTGATCTCCCTTGCACCTCGGTATGACCATGTGAGTATCTTCCGGTCAGTGGAATGTGAGCAGAAGTGATGTGAATGCAATCACAGCAGATGTGGTGGTAAGCCATCTACAACCGCGAGGACCAGGGGAACACTCTAAATATGGCCTCCAGTGAAGTATCGGAAGCCTGGGTAACAGACACTGTAGAGACACCATATCAGCTCTGGAATGTACATGCTCAGGCTGTTACTTGAGAAATGCATTTATCTCTCATTTAACTCACAACATTTCTGGGTTTCTCTGTTACAACAATCTCACATGTATCCTAACTAATAAAGATAGCATTAATTCAACAGGATTTATGCCAGTTACAATACTTACAGTCTGCTCACAGAGATATATAAGGATAATAATCATACTGCAAAACTATGCAGTTGTTTATTACATAGGGTACTGAGAAATTCAGAACTCTCAGCACAACTCCGTCCAAACCCCTTGCACTAAGAGACATGACCAAACTCTAGCATGGCTTCTAGCAGCATATGGCTGTGTCCCTAGGGTGAGGGTGACCTCAAGTCCCCATTAAAATGACTGCCAAAGAAATCTCAATGCTACCAGGAAAATTTCCTATTTGTTTTTTTTTTTTTTTTTT